AGGCAATGAGAGCTGCACTCTGGCCAGGGAAGGCATGAGTGACAGACCCGCAGCAAGGCGGTGGGGGTAAGTCCTTCTTTGCCTTAAGGCAACAATGTGCAGGGCCAAAAGATGAAACTCTTTTGTTGCAGATATCTGTGCCTTCTTACACAGAATCTAGAAGGCAGCTCTGAGGTAGACGGGTGGTTCTTTTAAGTCTGAGCACTGAGCAAAATCAGAAGAGGAGGAGAGAGAAGGTAGAAGAAAAGGGATGCCTTTTAGCCAAATCCTCCACTGAAAGATTTGTGAGAGCATGGAGAAATTACTCTCTGGAGGTAAATCTGTCTGTATTTTTTTCATCAGAAAAATTACTTACCCGGGGATTCAGCTGTCCAGGAGCGGATGAGGCTGGGCATTCAACTAGAGAGTAATGTGTCCGGTTCACTACCACCCGGTCACATCAACAAGTCCTCTTTGTTCTGGGGCAAAAGAAGCAAAGCAAATTGTGTTGATCCATTTCCAGTGAGCGTGAACCTGTAAGAGAACATTAATGATCGTAAAGGGGGTTTGAGTGACACTGGAGAGCCCTCGCAAGGCCACAGGTACACACATGCCAGTGAACCTTAGGGTTCCCAGCCAACGGAGGCTGCTTACTCTGCCTAGAAGGAGATCAGATTTGTGGTGGTGGTGGTGGGGGGGGGTGTTGTTTTTGTTTTTTGTTTTTCTGTTTTTAAAAAAAGGCTAAAAGCACCCTTAAGGAGTATATGTTTTGTTCTTTGAGTGTGGTGTTTTTTAATTTCTCTGGCTGATGAAAATTGGAAGCTGGAAAAGCAACTGAGTTTTTCAAATTAAGTCCCTGGAGAGGTAGACAGGTGTGTGCATGAGCAGGGACAGAACTCCTGGAGGGGCTGAAGCAAGGGGTAAAGGGGTGTCGCTGGAGGCTGGAGGCTGGCCTTCTCCAGGACCGCCTCTCCTGGGTGCTGGCCTGCACTGTTGAAAAGGGACTGTTTCCTGTTCACCCAGTTCCCTTCGCTTCCTGCTCTGTCCCCTTCTTTTCTCCCATTCAGTCCGGCCACACAGGACAGCACCTGGGGTAGCACCTTTGCCCCTTGGTCATCCAGCTACTGGTGAGTTCCAACGTGACTCTCACGACTGCCTTTTCAGTTTGTGAGTTCTCTGAGCTTCTCCCCCTGTGGGACAGCTTTCATGCCTCTCCTAGAGTGCCCTCGCTGGCCCGTCCCCAGTGCTGTTTTCATCTCCTGACACTCTCTTCCTCTAGGGAGGGTAATGTCAGTGACATCCCAGCAGGGGTTTTTCATAATCACACGATTTACTTAGAGGAACTCACCTGGGCAAGGGACGCTTGGGGTATGGCTGGCTCTTCCCTTTCTGAAGCCAGTCCTTCCTTTATCCTGCCACCCAGAATTGGGCAGATAATGGGTTTCTTTTTCCAAGTTGGAAGCAAAGCCTCATATCAAACCAGAGGCTGAGGGGAGGTGCTAAAGGTGAAGGGAAAGTCCCCCCCAACCCCATCTGCTGCCTATTTCCTTACTGCCTTCACAGAACACAGGCTCCTGGGGACACTAAGTGATGGGGGGGGGATTAGGAACCCACCATGTATCAGGGGGAGAAGCTGTAAAAGTTCTAATCTCTTGTAAGTACTGGGCATCTTTGCCTAACCCTTTGCTGTCCTCTGTGGTTAGATTCTTTGCTAAATGCTTCCTATACTTTTTTGCTCTCATGATTATCACAGGTGAGGGAGAAGAGCAAATGTGTCAGCTAACGGGGTAACTGGGGTCGCTGTCCTCCCAAAGGGGTATCTTCTGACACTTTTTGCCAGAGAGGGCTGGATGTCAAGAAGACCCCAGGGGGGGAAAAAAAATTCTTTCTTTAGAGCCTTCTGCTCTGAGGACCAGTGTCCCCTGCCACACCCCCTTTTCCTAGTCCTGAGCTCTGAGCTCTGCCCCCTGCGGGCAGCCAGGTAACCAGAGCGCAGCTTTCTGCCTTCCCAGCCGCCAGGAGCCCCTTTGGGTTACCTGAGGGGGACATGGAACCCTAGGAGGGGCTGCCAGTCCTCTCCTAACCTTTTAAAAGCATCGTCACCCCCTACTTCCCCTTGCCTCTGCACCGGTCCCTGCAGACCCAAGGCGTGTGCAGGTTCACTTGGCCGTGACCCCGCCCTGTGAGAGGCGATCCAGGCTCCCCCGGGGCCTGGGTTGTCACGTTCTCATGCAGTGTCCCTGGGCAGGCTCCGCTCCAGGCTCCCCGGCTCCTCCTGCTGGCAGCTGGCTCCCTCCTGGCGCAGGAAAGAGGAGGGAGGGAGTGTCCCTGTCCCAGCCAGGTCTGTTCGCACCACGATGCCAGTCACCTTACTGAGACCTTCTCCTTCCACTAATTTACCTCTCAAAACACGGTCTTAGGCAGTCCTGGCTCCCTAGCTGGCCTCCCCTAAATCCACCTGCTAGGAGGAGGCGGACCGCTCTACAAACCTGTCTCAAAAGGTCATCTTGAAGCTACAAAGTTCAAAGCTAAAACAGACTTGCCTGGTTTTCTGCTTTATGTTCAGAATATAAATAGCATACAAGTAGCACAAATTTTAACTTTTGTCTAAGGGCATTAACTATTTTATTCTTAATATTTTAAGCAATGTGGGAGGCTGAGATAGGAGGATAGCAAGTCCAAGGCCAACCTGAAAACCCTGTCTCAAAACAAAAAGTAAAAAATAAATTAAAGGCTGAGGATGTAGCTCAGTGGTATAACCCCCCTGGGTTCACTTCCCAGTACCAAAAAAAAAAACAAAAAACAAAAAAAAAAACCTTTTAAGGAACTTTGAATTTAGACAGTTTCCTTTCTAGGAATAATGCAAATGAATAGCATTTGAACATTAAATCAAAGGAGACTAGAATAAGGAGAACTTGACCATCACAGAGATTTTCTAGAAGCATTCTTTCTTGGTTTGCCAATAAAGGTTGGCAGCCCCTCTCTGCAAGACTACAGGCCCTGCCCCTCACCTCTAAATTTATCAACTCCTCCAACTGAAAGGCTGGTTTGGTGACTTCTGACTCCCGTTTGTTTTTCCTTTCAGTAAGTGTGGACCTCTGTGTAGAAGAGAGAGCATCATGGTGGCCTTCAAGGGGGTGTGGACTCAGGCTTTCTGGAAAGCAGTCACAGCGGAATTTCTGGCCATGCTTATTTTTGTCCTGCTCAGCCTGGGCTCCACCATCAACTGGGGTGGAGCCGAGAAGCCCTTACCTGTGGACATGGTTCTCATCTCCCTTTGCTTTGGACTCAGCATTGCCACCATGGTGCAGTGCTTTGGCCATATCAGCGGTGGCCACATCAACCCTGCTGTGACCGTGGCCATGGTGTGCACCAGGAAGATCAGTATCGCCAAGTCCGTCTTCTACATCGCAGCCCAGTGCCTGGGGGCCATCATTGGAGCGGGGATTCTCTACCTGGTCACACCTCCCAGTGTGGTGGGAGGCCTGGGAGTCACCACGGTAGTCTCTTAAACTCTTCTTTGCAGACTAGGACCCCACGGTGCTTTCAGACTCTGATGAATGACACCCTAGTGGCCAAGAGACATTCATAAAATTGATAGCTCTTGAATGACTTGAAAATAGCCGAGTCTCGGTAGCACAACCATGATTTGGGTTTTTTTCTTCTCTCTCTATCCCGATATCTGTACTGATTATATATTTATCCTAAGGCATTTACAATTATTTGTTTATTCGGTTGCAGAAGAAATTATTTTATTTCCTCTCATGTTCATGAGATTTAAAATGATCTCCATGAAGGGTCACACTTGAAAAAACCAAATTGAGCCAGGTACAGTGGCGCATACCTGTAATCCTAGCACCTTGAGAGGCTGTGGCAGGAGGATCGAGAGTTCAAAGCCAGCCTCAGCAAAAAGCGAGGCGCTAACCAACTCAATGAGACTCTGTTCTAAATAAAATACAAAAAAGGGCTGGGGATGTGGCTCAGTGGTTGGGCGCCCCTGAGTTCAATCCCTGGTACCAAAAACAAAAACAAAAGCAAATTGACATTTGATCCTTGTTTTGTTCTTCACTGATTAGGAATAGCATTCGTTATCTCAGAACCAAGGTTGATTTTATATACACACACACTCCTTAAGTTTTAATTGAGATATATATTAATTCATCTAAACTTAATAAATGGATTTAATCATTGCTAATAAAATTGTCTCTCGTGAAAGTCTTTAATAAGTGCAGCAGTGGCACATTTAGCTTCCTTTGTAGAAAAGAAAATTCAGCACAAACTCCTCCTTAGTCTTTATAAAAGTAATTATCTTCAACAGCCCAAAAATGAGTGTAAGTTTATTCCTTCTTTTTGGAAGAGGGAAAGGTCAGAGGTCTCCACTGGAGATGGGGTAGAAGATTCAAATTAACGATTATTTTCTATATAGAAAAGAACATGCCTTTCATAATGATTTGTAGTCAGAGAAATGTATTCTTGCTTCACTTCCAATGAAATGTTTTTTCTCTCTTCAGGTTCATGGAAATCTTACTGCTGGTCACGGTCTCCTGGTGGAGTTGATAATCACATTTCAGTTGGTGTTTACTATTTTTGCCAGCTGTGATTCCAAACGGACTGATGTCACTGGTTCAATAGCTTTAGCAATTGGATTTTCTGTTGCAATTGGACATTTATTTGCAGTAAGTTTCCAAGTCCATTTAAATAATTGATCCATCTCATTTATCCTCACACTAGAGCTGGCCCAAAGAGGTTGTGTTTTACAGTTATAGCTCTTTAGAATCCTGCCTTGTCCATTTTAGGTGGTCATTTTTGCCAACTATGTGATGAGAATGTTGATGTAGTAGCTAACATCTTGAGGTTCTTCTGACTCCACAAATAATATAGCAAATTGCACGGGACCTGCTTGCAGCCTTCTTTCAGCTATGTCTGACCCTGCTTTCTTTTTTTCCTATAGATCAATTACACTGGTGCCAGTATGAATCCAGCCCGATCCTTTGGACCTGCAGTTATCATGGGAAATTGGGAAAACCACTGGGTAACCATCAATGTGTACAATTCCTGTCTTCTTAGAGTTGAGGATAATTATCCACGAGGCTTTCTTTTTTCATTATCTGACTCACTTGTTTCTGTTGCATTTCCCCCAACTTTGACTCTGGCTTTATTGCATCTTTCATAAAGACTAAAGAAAGTTTAGCACAGATCTGCTGCAAAACATCTCATCTTATATCTCTTCTGGGCCTGCAGTAATAATCTTTCTTTTGAATGCTAGTCTGAGCACTGTATCTGACAGGCTGCAGCAGAATACACCGCACAGGGAGGTCGCCTATGTGGAACAAATTAGAATGAGAATGGTGTGATAAATATGGTGTTTAAATAATTGAAAGAAAAGTGTTCCCAGAAATAACAGAAAATAAATTTATTTGAAAAATTAAAAAGAAAGAAATATTTAAAAGCACCATCCTTATCAAAAATATTTACCTTTTTTTTGTTTACAAAAGCATAACCCAATTAATAGTATGCGAGTTGGAAGCATTTGAACTACAGATGGTGCAGAATAAATGGTACAAATGTTTATGCTATTATCATCATAATCATAGCTGGAAAAATAAATGACTCTCAGAAAAGGCACACTTTTCAATCTCAAGTCTAACCTACTTATTAATGAGGTGGCAATGGTTCCAAAGAATTGTGAGCTCCATATGTAGATACCATGATCAAATTTGTTTCCATTGGAATTTACAGCAAAGGAATTTAAATCCAGTAAGTGAGTCATGAGGCCTTCATGAAAGCTGTTCATACATTGACTCAGAATAACCAATATAAATAGAGACGTTTGTAAGCCAACCTAAATTGGGACATTTATTGTCATTCATATGTTGCCAATGTTATTTTACATTTTTAAAAAAATTCATGAATATAGCAGAATATGTTATTTGGGTTTTGATCTTATGCATATGGTGATTACTGACCAAGTCACACTCACTCCACTGTGGTGTAACATTGCAAAGAAAATATTGCACAGTTGCTACATGTATTTGCTTTATAAAAAGTGTACAGAGTTTTAAAAAGTAATTTGTAATATTAAATAACAATATGAGAGCTAGTGTTCAAAAGCAGAATTTTGGACATGACCATGCAAAGACTTGGCCAACAATGCCATTTTTAAGATTGGTCAGGCTGGGGATGTGGCTCAAGTGGTAGTGCGCTCGCCTGGCATGCGTGGGGCACTGGGTTCAATCCTCAGCACCACATGAAAAAATAAATAAAAAGATGTTGTTCCAC